GTAAGATATTAATAATAAAGGAAACTAGGTTATAGTTAGATGAGCAGGGTGAGTGTGGCTATATAGCAATTCACTGTACTCTATAAGAAAACACCAGGTGGGAATACAATCTTATAAAAGATTTGTGAAAATGAAATGTAAGCACAAAAGCAGTCTTAAGTCAGTAAGACAGATAATCTATAAAATGAAGTTAAAAAAAAATGTACAGGCAAAATCTGCTTTAGCAGATTGTGACCCTACAGGAATATTTGCAAAACAATGAATGGTAATTCAAGGGAAATGCTAGCTACTTTAAAACTACTTTAAAGCTACTTTAAGATTAATTCATCTGTTTGTTGTTGTTTTTAAAAATCAGATGCTTGAAGAGCATTTATATAGGGAAAGTGGAATTCTTTTATTATTTTATTTTAAAGAGAAGTAACACTGGTCAAGGCATTATTCAGGAACACAGCTCTCAGAGGCTGGCAGATTTCTGTAATATAAAGCAAATAAGTATCATATTATTTTATACAAGTATGTAATACAGTGGAAAGATGCTAGCTAAATGTTATTTCTTTTAAAAGTATACAAAACTCTATAATCCAGTTTTGTTAATAAATGTACAGAAACAGGTAAAAAAATACTGAAATAACATATATCAACATCTTAACAGAATTATTTATAAGTGTAGAGATTATACATGAATTTCATTTTTTACTTTTACACTGAATGTATATTAATTTTGGGGAATTTAAAAAGTAATCATGTTGTATACTTAAGTAATGTATATTACAATTTGAGTATACAAACTAATCAGTAGTAACTGTAACAACAAAATTTTAACTTTTAAAAAGTATGTCACATAAAATTATTTCAACATAATTTTTTAAATACATTATGCCAAGAGACATTGCATCAAAGTGGTGCTATAATACACCTGGACATAATATAAACCAACAGGTTTTAGAGAAAATATTTTAGGTATTTACTCATTATAAAGTAAGTTGATGTAGATATATATGGAACTATTAGGAGAAGTGATTATTTTAAGAGAGCAGTATAAGTTGACATTTCTGGGTCATCCATATAAAAAGCGTGCTTTTATACACTGTGGAAAGAAGGAAAACTGAAAATGTGTATGAGTGTGCCCAAAGAAAACTAACACACTTAGAATTTTAATCTTGCCAAATCTGACTTCAACCTTCATACTTCATTAGACAAAATGTCATAGTATTGTCAATTCCAGTATTAATGAAAGAAGCAGTATAAAATACAAAAGACAAAGACTTTATTGGAGTTGAAGAGGGAGAAAGAGAACTATGTGAGATTAAGGGGAAAATATCATTAAAAAACTAGCAATCTCAACACATGCTTGTGTGAAGATAACTATCTAAGCCACACTAGGAGTGAAAAGGGGGAAACAAATTGAAATAAAAGAATGGGGAATGTGAGAGTGAAAGTGTTGGTTGCTTACTCATGCCTGACTCTTTGCAATCCCACAGACTGTAGTCCTCCAGGTTCCTCTGTCCATGGAATTCTCCAGGCCAAAAACATTGGAGTGGGTAGCCATTCACGTCTTCAGGGGATCTTCATGATCCAGAGATTGAACCTGGGTTTCCTGTACTGTAGGCAGATTCTTTACCATCTGAGCCACCAGGGAAGCCAACTATCTATTCCAGGTTTCATCTACCTCCTAGTTTATAATGTTCAACTCATATCTTATTTTCCCATTAAAGCATTAGTACAATGTACAAAGCTATCTAGACTCATCAGCCAATCTTGTTCAAATAAGATAAACATATAACATGGCCAGTATTTTAGTTTGGGTTAAAATTCATTGACAAAACCATCTCCAAAAGGCCTGCAGTGCTAAACGGTCAAAATTAAGCAGAAGCCCTTACTCCACTCCATCAGAAGACAAGTGGTTCCAGAGAGGATAATACAGAAGGATCCTACACTAAGAGACAGCAGGCATGGTAGAGGGTGAGAATATCAAAGAATTAAAAAAAAAAAAAAAAAAGAATGTTGAGATTCCTGAGCTCTGTTGTCACCTCGTTCTCAGAGCACTGGAAGTCAGGCTTATACTGTGGAGCCAAGAGGCAATACTGACTTTTAGAACTGGATACTTTCTCCTTTGTGAGTGGCTGCCCTATGCATTGTAGGATGTTCAACACCACCTGCAGCATCTAGTGGTTTTCAATAGCAACCCATTTCTGATAACCAAATGTGTCTGAGACACTGACAAATGTCTTGGGGAGATCATATTGAAACAGCTGAGAACCACTGACTCTGAGGCAGAAGATTAGAAAATCCTTCTTGTTGGACTCTTACTAGCCCAAGAGAAAAAAACTTCCAAATACCTGAAGAAATTTTAAGAAAATTGATATCTGGGTTTCCCTCCCAAATTTGTCCCAGCCAAATCTTCCCATAGTGAAAACCATCAACAGCTAGCAAACTTTAGCTAAGTTAAGAGAGGCATGAAATAGGTTTCCAATGTTCCTTACAAAAATTTGAACACAATCAAGGATCACAACAGAGCCGAGGAAAGCCTCTAAAGTGAGACTAAAATACATCAACACAAAGAATAACTTAGAAAACACAAAGTGTGCTGGGAGAAATAAACCTCAAAACAAAACTTTAAATCCATAAAGAGAAAAAAATACTAGAAATGCTGGGGGGGGGNAGGGGGGCGGGACAAAGATCAAAAAATGGTACTGAAAATCAAAAAAACAATAGGAGAAATGAAAGTCTCAAGGTTTTAAAAATCAAGTAAATTTCCGAGAAAGTGTAAAGCAAAAAAACTGGAAAATGAAAAATGGGAGAAAGAAATAGGTCCAGTAGTACAATGTCTAATTGCAGGTACAAAAAACACTGAGGTAAGAAAATTACAGAAAATGAATCAGAAACCTTAGAGCTGAGGGATACAGGTTGCTAGGCTGAAAGAACTCATGAAATGCATATAAATTTCTATGGACTCATAAATTATCTCACATTACTGTGATGTTTCAGAACACTGTATAGAACAAACAGAAGAATCTATAAGCTTCAAACAAAAAAGGTTGCAGAAGCTTCCACAGGGGAGAAGAAAGTGAAATGCAGCATTAAAAACAAGAATGGAGTCAAATTTTTATCAAACACTAAGAGTTTCTCCTCAAATCTGAAGAGAAACATTACCAATTTAGAATACTACATCCAGTCCAACTAACAGAGTATACAGTAAACACAATTTTAGGAACATAAGGCCTCACAACATTCAATTCTCAAACAGCCAATAAATTTTTGAAAAACTGCTCCAACCCATTAACAATCAGGAACTGCAAATTAATAACACAAAGTTACTTTCATCAGATTGGCAAAAACAAAAACTACCAACTGTTTTCAAAACTGTAGAAAAAAGGATCTATCATACATTGTTGGTGGGAGTATAAATTGATATATTCACTTTGAAAAGTTTGGCATAATCTACATTCTGCAGAAATGCATGCTACGTATATAAAATGCATGTGTAAGATTACACAGAGTTGTACTATTTCTAAGTGCTAAAAACTAGCCACAATACAAATGTTCATAATACTAGACTAGTTAGATTAATTGTGTATGTTCACAAAAAGACTTACTACACTATACTTACTTATAAGCATTACTATCAGCAATGAAAATACATGAACTAGACCTACAGGACTGACTGAAAATGATACATAACATGTAATTCAGTTACATACAGGCTATTTAAAAAAAACAAAAAAAAGGCAAAACCAATGTATATTGTTTAGGAATCCTGACAAAGGTGGTTAAAAAATACTTGAAATAAAAGTGAAGGGAACAGCAATGTTCTAATTCTGCAATGTTTTTGATACAGAATACTGTGTTCACAATTATTCATTATACTGTATATTTGTGGCTTGTGCATTTTCCCACATTCTGTTTACTAATCATTAGAACTAATCATATTTTATAACTATGATTTGTACACTCTTTTGCACATTTAGTATTTTGTCACAAAAAAACGATTTAAAGTTTATTATCTACGGCATTTTTATGGGTCTGCTAAAATTTTTTTGTTCTAAAGTGTCATATATTTGGTTTCAATAGAAACAAAACTTTGAGGCACCAGAGTCCAGTTTTTATTCCATTTGACAGGATTACTGCACACACATAAAGTGGTAAAAGCACTAGTCAGTGGTGCATAAACAAAATTCACTGTCAAAACATACAAGAAGAATAAGCAGTAACTTTAACTGACAGCATACCCTAAAAAAAAATCACTACAGAATTAAGTAATACAAATACAATAAACATGAGGAATTTCAGAGTCTTGGTTTTAGAAAATACATACATGAGTGATAGTCTTTCAATGCACGTTTACAAAAAATTATAACTGAAAGACTGTAATGGTTTTAGTTATGATTGTATGGACAGAATGTGAGAAAGAAACGGTGCTATTTTACTCAAAAAAATTAATGAAAACCCGTCTTTTTTAAACACTCTGAATTAACATGAGGGAAACATTACTTCCAGCAAAAACAGTAGCATTTGAGAAATCAACGGTTCTAAATCTGAGGCTAGTAACCAAAGAAACTAAAAACATCCTTTAAAAAATCTCGCATATACACTACAGAAAGGGAAAACTTTGATGATGTCCCTTCTCTGTCAACGATAACTAAGACACAGTATCAAGAATTACACAATTCCATACCCTCCTTCTGAGAAATGCCACAGGCATTTTGTTGCGGAAACAACGCAAGACACGGAGGGAAATTCTACTGAAGAACCAACTGCCAGCTTGCTCCCTCCTCAAAGCCACTCCAGAATTCCTGGGAGGTTAACGAAGTAAGGACTGAAGATAGTAACACCCAATATAAACGATACATGCAATGGCAGAAGTTGTCAAAATTCACACAGCTTATTTCTCTCCCTGGACAGGTGCCCCACTCTGAGGGGAAGAAGCAGTTAACAGAGTCATCTGCTGAGGGTTCTGAGATCTCATTTCTCTCTTACACCTGGACCATCACATTTCTCACCATCACCGAGTGTAGTCAACACATGCCACAGATTTAGGTTCTTGAGCTCATCTACGCTCCCTACGCTCGTCCAGGATTAGCCACCGGCTGGCTCAGAGGGAAGCCACGAGACGGAAGGAGCCCGCCTAGATTCCGGCCTGCCTGGCCTAGACAAGCCTGCCCCCCTTCCCGCATTCCCAGTCTCCAAAGCGTTCCGTCCTCTCCTTTTCGATTCGCCTTTCGCCAAAGGCGCCCAAGGCTTTCGTTCTGAGGCTAGTCCACTCCAGATTACCTCTCATGGAAAAGTTATCTCTTACCAGGGCAGAATGAGATTCCGGAGACGGCAGGAATCGCTTCACAGGCTCCTCTCGCAGCGTTCTCTGCTCTGCTTCACCTGCAGCTGCCAACGAATTCACCAAGACTCCCGGCATGCCCCGCGCAGGCACCGCCTCCCTACCCCGCCCCTCTCCCGCCCAAGCACGTGACCTCCTTTCGCCTCCGTCCACGCCCACTTCCGTTCCTCCACTTTCCCTTAGGAGGGAGGAGGGGACTGGGGGTGTTAAAGAGTAGCGACTTCCTCCTACTCTCCGCCCCCGCCTCTCTACCCCCTGCTACAATGTCTTCCGGGTCGCGATCGCCTCGGAGCCTTCTGGGAAACCATCTCATTTCCTCCCCTCCCCCTCCTCCTGCCTTCAACCAACCAGCCTCCCGTCAGAGAGGGACATGCGCAGTGAGTGCCTCCCGTCTCTTCTACCCGAACCCCCCTCCCCCCCCAAGCAGAGAGACCCCAGCAGCAGCAGCAGCTGATGATGAAGAGAGAGGCAGTGGCAGAGGGGGGGCACCTTTTATTTCTATTTTTAAAGGGACAGGACACTAATTTTACCCCACTTCAACCTTGAATTGAGGGGGGTGGGGGGAAGGCGGCTGAGTTCCTTCCCCCACCCTCCAGCCCTGAGACCTGAGAGGGGGATTGAGCCTGAGAGAGAAGGAGAAGGAGTTTCTTCTTCTTCGAAAACCCCCATCCACGACTCCTACCCCCTCACCCCTCCACTAGCCTCTCTCCCGAGCCCCCTCCATCCTCCTCCTCTTTGGCCGTGAGAGGAGAGAAAGAGACCAAAAGCCTCTTAGCAACACAGACCCTTCTCTGCTGTTGCTGCTGCTGCTGCTGCTACTGCTGCTGCTGCTTGGCCCTGGCTGGAGACATCTCACTACACCCAGGAGCAGCCACTTCCCCAGCTCTCCTCCTCCTTCGCCTCCTCCTCCTCCTCCACTCCCCCCCCCCCCTTTATTACCCTTTGTGTCATCCTCCACAGCTCCAGGGAAGGCACTCAAAAGTGGGGGGCAGAAAAGGTAAGTGTGTCTGTGGGGGCTTCATTGCCTTCCTCTGGCTCTGACTTTAACTCCGGGGCAACAGTAGCACCAAACCACATACGCAGTGGAGCTCCGGGGTGAGGAGGGGGTGGTGCTGGGGGGGTGGTGAAGGAGGGGTTGGAGTGGGGAGGGGTGTGTGAGGTGGGTGCCCATCCTGTCAGAGGAGGAAGGGCACTTTTTATTTTTATTTGCTGTTGTCAAAAGTGGTTTCTCTCCTCCAGCTAACATCTGATTGTGTCTTGCTCCAGTGGGGGAGAATACAAAAACAACCCCCTCCTTCCTCCAATGAGGCGCCAGGGAAAGACAGAAAGAGGCACACTTTCTAGATGTCACTTTAAAAAAATCATTTGGAGAGCTTTTTTCCTTTTTCCCTAGGAAAAGCTCCACTGCATTTGTTTCTGAGTGGGAAAATGTCGGGATCTGGATTGTATCGGAACTGCTTATCCATTTGTAGACCTGAGTGTTTTCCCCTTTTTGGTTCTGTATGTGATTTGGATATTGACTTCAGTGTTGGAACAGACTTGATTGGCTTTTGCTTCCTGGGTTTAATTTTCCTTTTTTTCGTTTTGTCTGACTTGCATAGAAAATTTCAAAATTTTGGTTGATAGAGGCCTTTGGTTAGGTTTTGACTTGTATTATTGCTTTTTTTGTTTGATGTTTGTTTCATATATCAGCATATTAAAGTTAAAAGCTTAAAATGCTTTAAGTTAAATATCACTGGTATTGTTTCTCCCTATATACATTCGTGATACTTATTTTACATAAGATGAGAATATTATCTATTTCATAATTAATCTGAGTATTTTTCTAATCTTTGTAACTTGTCTGAACAAGTAATCCCCATTGAAAACTTTTATGTTGTTCTGACTTCATGGAAGGCCAAACCTCTCCATCAATAGTTTGCTGGATTGGTACCACTTGCAGTTTTAACTGAATTATTTATTTACTGTTGTAAATTGAGATGAGTTTTTCATCTCTGGGGGGTACTGAACCAAATTGCTCACTATATGTGAAAGGATTCAAATTCCTAAAATGTTTTCATGAGTCAAGGAACTCATGATGGTATAGTTAGTACATGCATTGTAGTGAGATATAATGAGATATAAATTGAAAGACAAATCAGATTTAGGTTTATAGAGGAACAGTCTTGATAAAAATAACTATTTTTCATTTTTACATGGTATGTTCTCAGTGAATGGTTTTCAAATTCAGTACTGTATTTTATTTCAGAAATGCTAGAAAGTATGTTTCTGATGTAGGCCTTTTACTAGGGCTTACATTAGAAAGTGGTATTTTGTTTCATATGTACATTTCTTTATCCTTTCCTTAAAGATGGATGCACACATTCACACAGTCTTTCTCTCTCTCTCACACACGCACACACATACACACCCTTTTCTTATAACTGCATTGGTATCTCTGATCCCATAATTTATGTCAGCAAAAAATATTCTCCTGTAAAGTAGCAATTTTGTGATCAGACTGGCAATGTGAAAACAGCAATTTGATCAACTAGAAAGGATTGAAGAAAAATAAATCTAGAAGGATATTTGACAAATATTAGAAAGACACAATAATACTTTTAATTTTTTAATTTTCTTGATGGTAAAGCGAAAACACAATATATTTACACTTTAGAGACAGGAAAGCATTGCATATGTAGAAGCTTGTTCTGTAAAATTTTAATTACCAACTGTGTGCAAAAGTAGACATTTACACAGGGGAAGGAAAAGCTGTGTGGCAATAAACAACATGGTCCTGATTCTCTCCTTTCTGTTGTGAATCTGAACAATTTCTTACCTTTCTGTGAGGTGTAATTGGTGTCCTTTGGCAGAAATCTGTGCCAAGTTCAAGTTTGTCTCCCAATAATAGTATTTCAGATCCACCTAGGATTTCTTGTCCTCACCTTAATACCTCAGCAACCTTAACATAGAAGACGGAAGTAGAACATAATGAAGAAATAACTTTTAAGTAAAGTGAATTGAGTAGGTTATTGGGGTGGTAGTTTCCCAGTAGGCAGCTGAGAGAAAATTTATACCTTGATTATAATACTTTCACTTACTTTCTGTTTTTATTTGAAAACATTTCTTATTCTACCACCCTCAGGGTAACCCTATATGGTTTGAAGATTCTAGACTGCCTCTAAGTTGAATAATGACTTACCTTTAAAAAAGCTGTTTATTAAAAAAAAAACAAATAAATAATAAATTAAAAAGCTGTTTATTTTTTTATGGCTTATTTATTAAGTATTAAGATATATTTTAGAGTTGTAAGTTTCATGGAGGTGATATCTTGGAGGTCAGTTTGTCCAACTCTTCATTTTCCATATTGTGGGAGTTCAGAGAGTTGTAGAAGCTTACACAGAGTTCTAAGGCCTGTAAGTGGACAGCACATGGACCAGAGAACTCTGGTCCCTTGACATTCACTAAGCTACACTATCTTATTTTCTTTTATCAGGAATAAAACTATCATGCACATGACACTTAAGGGTTTTATATGGGGTCATATTCTAGGAATATTAAATAGCTGTAAAGCTGTAATTTTGTCCATTTACAATTCAGTAATTATTGATTTTTTTTTTTAGGGGGTACTGATTTTTCTCATTGTCAATTGTGACTGTTTGAGAATTATTTCAGTTTTCCCTCATGGTTATTTCCCCCCCTGCACTTATAGTTAATCAGTGAATATACTTCTAACTCCTGTATTAAGCTATCTATATATATCTATATCTATGTGAAAAATGCATAGTGTATTATAAATGCTTTTTTATGATTCTTGCTCTTTGAACTACTTTAAGACTAAGTTTTTTTTTTCTTGTTAGTACTTATATCCTCCACAGCACAGTGTTCAGTACACAATAGGCCCTAATGGCTGTTTGTCATATTTGATATTATAATTAAACGTATTTGAATTTCTTGACTCTTAGATGTAGAATTTCTTCATATTCTTCCTTTTTGCTTTCCTTCCTGCTACAGCATATTCACTACCATGATTTTTTTTCTTTATCTTTACTATGGTTCTCACTTTTTCTAGTGGCCAAATTAAATCCTGTTAACAAATAGTACTCATAAGAAATGAAAACGTTCTGTACAGGATGCAGTTTGACAAAAGTGATTTATTTTAAATAAGGGATTAAAAAATTTCCAATTAAGAGTGTACTAGCAAATGTTCTGGATATACTTAAATTTCATTTCATTGAATAACTGGCAGAATAGGTTATTGGAATGATTAGCCTGCATTTACCAGCTCTATAAAGCAACTGTAACTTAGGTGACGTGTTTCCCTTTGTTTTTTTCGGTCCTTACCCAGACAATTACCAACTTTCCAGTTTTCTGTGGATATGAAGATTATTCCTAGTCATCAGTGGGACCCCAGGAAGTCAGCCAGAAAGCCTATGTGCAACTTATGAACCTTTACAAACTTGTCTGTATTTTGAATGTACGTGCAAAACAGATTGTATTCACTCATTAAACGTTTATCGAGTATCTAATGTACGTCAGGCACCATGCTAGGCATCTGAGAAACAAGGATGGGTCCCTACAGTTTGTGGAAGGTATCTTAATTGTGTTATACAGGTGTATTGGTCATATCTTTATTTGATGTTTCTACCTAAATTAATTTTATGAACTAAATGGATAGTGCCAGGTAGAAAAATGCATGTTTAAAAAGGCTATTGCTGTATTTTATTAGAACAGACTAAAGAAAAAAATTTGCACTTAATACTGTATTCTGGAG